AATAAATTAAAATAAGTCTGAGAATTCGACTTGAGTCACGGGTAACACGTTAACTCTTTTGGGTCAAGCTTGTTGAGTATGACTCGATCCTAAGATTTTTTATTTGGGCTTGCTTAATTAATTAATAAAAGTCCATCAAATTTAGCTCACAAGCAAACTTACAATTTTTTTTTGAAAAGTAACTATTTTAATTAATTTTTTTAATTTTTTATAAAGATTTATAAAAATTTAAAGAGAAGAGCTGATTTTTAGTGATTTTTTAATTTTTTAAGGGATAAATTACACTTTGCTTCCTTTATATTTGATCAGTTTTCCACTTTGATTCTTAAAGTTTTTTTTTTTTTCCATTTTGATCGTTCATGTTTCAAGTTTTTTTGACTTTACTCTTAAAACTAACTTATGTTCAATTTTATAGATTGAAAATGCTACAATAACTATTACATAACATAAAAAATATATTATTACATTTGAGTTTAAATTTATGTTAGATGTGTGAGTTATATATAATAAATATTTTTAGGCCATCTGATAGTCAATGTGTCATTTTCTATCTAATTTTGAATAAAAATTAACTTTAAGTAAGGTGGAAAAACTTAAAATACGAAGGACCAAAGTCAAAAATAAATAAATTTTAAGATTCAATGTAAAAATGGCCGAACATAAAGGGGCTAAAGTAAGGATTGTGCAAAAATACTGCACAATCTGCTAAAATTGCATCGATCCACACCAATCCTCACCGTTTAATCCACTAATCGCAAATTAAACTTTAAAATTTGAGATAAAAGATAGTTTTTAGAAAAAATGACAAGGAACACATACTTTAAGGATTAAAACTGTCTTTTATTTATGTTCTCGTTATCAATTTAGTTAGATATATGATCAAATTGACAACTTTGAAGATCAAAATAATAAATAACACATTTCTTAGAGACTAAAACTATCTTTTATCCTAAAATTTATAATATAATTTTGAAATCGTTCTGCTCCACTAAAGTTAATATATATATATATATTTATATTTTAACTTTTAATGAAATATTAATATATATATATATTTATTTATATTTTAACTTTTAATGAAATATTAAAGTAAAAATGAGTGTGAGAGAGATTTAAAATGTGAAATTTATTAGAAATTAGTAGTTATATATATGAAAAATATTATGTAAATTAATGTTATATATTATACATACACTTGATAATTAGTTAAGAATATTCTTCAATTTGACAAACCATTCCAAATTGTCCAATATGACTTACTTTAGTTATTTGTCAATCCGTTATTTAATTTATAATTTTATTTTCAAATCGTCCGAACTATACATCTCACCCATAGGCAAAGTATAATTATCAACTTTGGCCTATTTTGGCAAGAAGTTAAAAACTAATTTTTTATATTTTAACTTCTTTTGAGTCATATCATCTCTATATTTTTTTACGTGTTTTTTCAAAGAAAAAAAAAAGGGAGCTAACCTTTAACCAATTTAACTATTTTAATTTTTAAATTGGTGATAAAACAAACCTTAAACACAACTTTGGAGCGATACCAACCTCCCTCGTCAACTTTATCATCAACAATGTTACATCTATTTAATTTAGGATTACCAATAATTCTTAATAGTTGTAATTAATTCTTATCAAGTCTTATTGAAAATAAATCATAGTAAAATTGTCACTAAAAATATTTTTTTACGACTAGTTTTTTGCATATGTCACTAAAAATTAACAATTAGTGACTTTTTTATTCTAATTTTTATAAATTGTTACTAAAATTTACAATTACTGATATTTTTTTGTGATGATTTTTTAAACTGTCGTTAAACCTTATAATTAATAATATTTTTTATGACAATTTTCAAACTGTTATTAAAAATTAACAAAACAATTAATGATTTTTTAATAGTTTTTAATGAAAAATGTCATGAATTTTCACATGAGTTGTTGAATAATAAATCTACTTATTAGGAGTTACACGTAAGTTATCCTTTACTTTATCACTCTTAAATGACTTCTCATGATATAATATTAAAATTTGATCCCATATAATAAAATATTTAACAGTAAATTAAAATATGACACTTATCAAATATATCATTACAAATATTTTTTAAAAATAATAAATTAAGTGATTCAAATATTTTGTCTTTTTTAATGATGTGCAACTCTTTCGAAGATAAATGGCCTGTTTGGTTTGTATGTAAGCTACAATTTTTGAATTTTTTTTAAAATTTTGTTTGGTTAAAATTTTTCAAAAAAAAATTTCAAAGTCACTTTCTTTCTCCTATACGTTAATTAATCACTTTTTCTCTTTCCTCTTTATTTCTCAATCACTTTTTTTTTCATACACACCTACTCAACTATAACAAAATATCAAATCATTCCAAATTTTCAAACTTCAAAACTATTTTCAAAATACACAACCAAATAAATCAAAAAAAAAAAATTAGATTGCATTTGGTAGAGTTTTCTAAATATGATTTTAGAATAGAGTTGTATTTTGAGTTTGTGAGTTTTGAAATTATGATTTGAGTGTAGAAAATTTGTTTGGTGAATGAGTTTTGAATTGAATGAGAAATTTTTAATGTGACATATGATAATTGATACAAAAACTTGAACTTATAACCAAACACACAACTCAAAATTCTATTCAAAACTCATAAATTTTTTTTAAAAATTCCAATTTTTTTTTAATTTAAAATTTAAAAAATAACAGGTGGCATTTGTAAAAAAAAAAAAGAAGTACTGTTTCGGTCAACCGGCCGGACGTCTAGGAGGACAACCAGTTAGTCTAAATTTTCCCTTCTTGCAAAGAGTTTTTTAAAAATGAGTGTGTAATTAATTTTTAAAAACACTAAACAAACACCATACTCAAAACTAATATGAAATTATATTTTAAAAATTCCATCGAACGAAGCCTTAAACTCTCTCCCTAAATTTTTTTTTTTGAAAATTTATTTCAAAACACAAATCACAACTACCCAAAAAGTTTGCGTAAAGATGTCAATTTGACAATCATTGCAGGAGATGGACCATCAGAGATTCCATATATATATATATATATATATATTAGAGGAAATATTTATTACTCTGAAATATATAGTGAAGATGGCTTAATAGGAGAGCTGATAGATATGAGGGTAATATAGTAAAAAAAATAAGTTTTAAAATATTAGGGGGTTTTGAAAGTACTTATATAATTCTTGTCCTTTTGAAAGACAAATTAGATAGTGAGGGGGCTATCACCAAATCCCCTCACTTTTAATGTGATTATAATTTTTTTTTGAATTTATTATTGAATATATCATTTAGACTACCCTCCCCCCCTCTCTCTCTCTCTCTCTCTCTCTCTCTCTCTATAGAAAAATTTAAATTTCTTTGCAATAGTCAAATTTTAAAAAACCAAACACATATCTATTTTCAAATTACTTTATTAAAAACCCCTTAAAAAAATTATAACCAAACATAAATAAAGTATAATCAAAGATTTCAAAATAATGTCATAAATAAAAAAGAAAAATAGTCATAATTAAAGAAAAAAATAACGTAATTAAATGTGCATATAATAAGAGATGTGTTTAATAGGATTTTCCTTTTTTAATATGTAAATTATTTGTATAAATCTTAGACCTTGTTTGGGAAGATTAAATAAGTCCACATTTTTTATTTTTTTATCTTTTTTGGGTCACATCAATCAGCATTTTCTCTCTACTTTTCTATACATCTTTTTATAAAAAGTTAAAAAGTGTACTTATTTAGAACATCCTAAACAACCCTTTAGTCGGCGTTTGGTATAATTTTTTAGTAACTGTTTTTTATTAATTTTTCTTTATTTTTAGTTTTTTTTTTAAATTTCGAATTATAGACTAGACAGATCGGGAAAAGAAAATCCAGAAATGACAAATAATTTTTTTTTAATTTTTTAATGTTTAGTAAACTTTTTAAAAGAAATTATATATATTTTTTTAATTTTTAAATTGGTCTATACAAAATGAATCTAAAAAAAACATAATTTAAAAAAATTCTAAAATAAAAAAATTCAAAAAAAAAATTGTGATTATTTTAGTTATATGCCAACCCCCCCGGTGGAGGGTAGCATGCCGAACCAAATACCTAAGGCGATATTTGTTTGGCTCTATATGATAGAAGGAATTAAGACTACAATGAGATTGAATGAGATATGATGATATTAGGTGAGAGATGTAAAATAAATAGTACTTGTTTGTATATCACCGGATTAATGTTAATATATTAAATTAATATTTTATAATTTTTAGTATTTTTTAATATTATAATTAATTTTTTTGTTTTAAAAAATATAATTTTTGCTTAAAAATTATGAATCCCTTAACTCAATTTCTAATCACAATCCTCCCATAACATGGTGAACCAAATACCTAAGGCGATATTTGTTTGGCTCTATATGATAGAAGGAATTACGACTACAATGAGATTGAATGAGATATGATGGTATTAGGTGAGAGATGTAAAATAAATAGTACTTGTTTGTATATCACCGGATTAATAATACTATAAATGGTGTTTATATATAAAATTAATATTTTATAATTTTTAGTATTTTTTAATATTATAATTATTTTTTTTGTTTTAAAAAATATAATTTTTGCTTAAAAATTATGAATCCCTTAACTCAATTTCTAATCACAATCCTCCCATAATTTTGTTAGTCCCACCACAAAAAAGATTATTAGTTGACAAGAATAATTAATCTCCTTACTTATATCCTCAACTAAACACCTTTTAAATATATTTTCTTTCTGATAAAGTCAAACAATCATAATCTATACAAGTGTTTTGAAAAGATAATTAAAAATTATTTTTTAATTTTTTTATAAAAGAGAAGTAAATTAAAAATTAAAAATTCACTTTTAACCTATTTCAAAATAGATATCACTGCAGAGACCGAGCCGAACTCGGAAGTCAAACCCCAAACCCAACTCACCTCAGTCGTACAGTATTGGATACTCCCTCTCTCTCTCTCTCTCTCTCTCTCTCTATTTTGTCTTCAATGCAATGCAATCAGACTGCACAGTGCTACTCTGAAAATTCGGCTATTCTTTGTAGCTCAACCCCGAAACGCATCACCACATCACATTGCTTTCAATGTGCCAATCTCCAAACTTAACACAAGTTTCATGCACTTTCTCACTACCTTGTTGATTCCTCTCAAGACCTCTTCAATCTTCAAATAATCATTCTGGGTTTGTTTTTTCACTTCTTAATTATTGTCATTGTTGTGTCTCGTTTCATATATCAAAAAACCCATTTTCTTTTTCACAGCTTTGGAGATGTAGTAGGTGGAAAACCTTATCTGAGTCTTTTCTTTTCTTTTTCTTTATTTTCTTTTTTCTCTCATTATTGGTTGGTAATCTATGAAATTTATGATTTTGTCATGGTCTGGTTTTAATAAATGCAAACGGGTCCTTGTTCTTGGCAATGCTTGAAACTGTAAATTCCCTGAAAATTAGATTCACTGAGCTTGTAGGACCACCTCTCTTATTGCTCATTGACTCGCTCATTGCTTGCTATTTCTTTGTTTTTGTTGCAGTTGTTTTTTTTAACTCCCACTCCCCTCATTGCTTTAGCTCTGTGTCTTGTGAAGTTCTATTCAGGTTCAATTTTCTAGTCCTTGTGCTCATTTTGTTTTCTTTAGTACCCATTGATTGATTTCATGTTGTTCAGCATTGTGCACAACCAACACATTATCTATCTATCTATTTAGTTGGGTAGAGTAGGGATTCTTGAGGGAGGAATGCAGATAATCTGTTTGATGATATTACTGTTACTGGAACTGGCAAAAGGAGATTCAGATGTGGATGTACTTTTGGAGCTAAAAAAGGGGATCCAGAAAGATCCTTCAGGGAAGGTTTTTGTTTCATGGAATTCAAGTTCCTTGGCATCTGATGGGTGCCCCCAGAATTGGTATGGAATTAGTTGTAGTGAGGGCAGTGTGACATCAATTACACTAAATGACTTGGGTTTGGTTGGTGAGTTTGATTTCCCTGCTATTGCTGGGCTTAAAATGCTTCAAAATTTATCAGTTTCAAACAACCAGTTGACGGGTAGTATCACAGAGCAAGTTGGCTCAATTGGGACATTGGAAGTTTTGGATGTTTCGCGCAATTTGTTTAATGGGTCATTACCGTCCGAGTTGACCAATCTAACAAACTTGGTGCTTCTGAATCTTTCCTCAAACAGTTTTGAAGATACAGTTCCCTCCAGCTTTGGAAACCTTGAGCAGTTGATGTATCTAGACTTGCAGTCTAATGGGTTTACTGGTGATGTTATGGATCTTCTGTCCCAACTGGGTAGTGTGGTGTATGTTGACCTCAGCAGCAACCGGTTCAATGGATCCCTGGACCTCGGGCTTGGAAACTTGAGCTTTGTTTCTGCAATTCAGCACTTGAATATTAGCCACAACAGCTTGGCTGGAGAGCTTTTCTCTCATGATGGAATGCCATATTTCGACAGTTTAGAGGTGTTTGATGCAAGTAATAATCAATTTGTGGGTAATGTTCCTTCCTTCAATTTCATGGTCTCTCTTCAGATTCTGCGGCTTGGTAGCAACCACTTATCAGGGTCCTTACCAGAAGCTCTTTTGCAAGAGAGTTCAATGGTCTTGTCTGAGTTGGATCTCAGCCTTAACCAACTTGAAGGTAACCTCAATTCTGAAACCAAGGTTCCTGCTATAATTGCTTACTTTTATTACAACCAAAATTTGCAAAAGAGAAATGCTAGAGACCCTAAATATTTTACCAAATATTCTACTAAATGTCTCACATGGGCGTGAGATTCGCATGAGACCCACATGTGTGGATCCCACATCCATAGGAGACATTTGATAGAACATTTGATAAAACATTTGGGGTTTTTAGCATTTTTCTTTGCAAAATATTATAAAATATTTTCTATAAACGTCTTCCAGAATGGGTGACGTGTCTCAATGCTTTCTATGTTTGGATCTTGTTTGTCTATATATGTGAAATGCAAATGGGTTTCGTCTACATTGCTACATAACCAAACAAACTCTATGCATTCTACAAAATATCAGACAAAATTTTGTTTTTAGCATTCGATGATGTTGGCTGTTGCAATTGTAATTTAAAACTCTTTTTCAAGTCATTATTAACATTGGTGGACCCAGAAATATTGTTAAGAGGGGGTCAAACTATATACAACAAAAAACTGACTATAAAACTTATTTTATCACATTCTTACAAAAGTTTTGCACGTATGTTGCACTAAAATAATCATTGTTATAAGCATAAAAATTAAACATTATTCTTAAATTTGCAAATAAAATTTAGTCAATAGACATTTACGAAAACAATAGGTATCAAAACAGGATTATAAACTTCTTTTACACTTTGTACAAAACATAGGATCAAAACATAATAACATAAAAGGACTTTTTCACATTGATTATAGTCACATTAGGTTGTAACTAATACTAATTAAAGCCATAATCGAAGGCCATTTTGGTCGTAACAAAAACCAGCACAATGAGTTGTGGCGAATACTATTTCGGGACATAATCAAACATCAGAATGGGATGCGACTAATTTTGATTTAATAATTTATTAGACCTGCCACCGTAATGGCCCATTACCATACACCACAATAATTTGTAACTTACATATGGTATACACTGTGTATTATAGCATGACCCTAACTACATGCTTCAAACAAGCAAATTGACAAAGTTGAGACTTCAAAGGGCCAACTCTTTACTTCTAAATAAGGTTTTAGTATATATAGATTACCAAGAAATACAATAAAGGAAGATGAGAACATTGGGGTAATTGAATTTTCAACTTAAATTAACCTTCCAAAACACCTTAAGAAATTGAGTCTTTAGCAGTTAATTGGCTCCATCCAATATGCTTATGGAAATCTGTACACCAAACACCATACAGTTATTGGACTGGCCTTTGAAAACGTGGGCTAGCTGTTTTAATTAAATACCAGCAAAAGAATGTAAACCTATATAGGATAACTGAATCGATTCTTATTTAGGAGTTTATGACACTAGTGAGTTCAGAACTCAATTAGCAAGAAACAACTCACAACATGCTATCCTCGTAGCAGCAAAGTATTGTAGATGTACTGCAGTCCCTTTTGAAGAACACCGTGCATGGCATGCTAAACTAAAGTATGCCAACTATTACAGTCATGTCAAAAGCCTAAAAACAATATTGACAGATGCTATATGCGTTTGAGTTTTTTCTTTATTATATTTTTTCATGTTATGGAATCCTATTTCACTAAATACAAAAGATTTTAGAATATCATTAAGCATTGCTGCATTGTTGTATTATTTTATTTAAAGCTGAAGTTTGATATGTGGTAACAGTGACCAAAGTTGTCATCCAATACCAATAAACAACCTGCCCAAGGCAGCTAAGTGGGAGTCCTACTTATTCTAAAGTATAATCTGTCTTGCAATATGCATCTCTATCCTAATATAAATAAAACAATGACCATAAGTGCTCTATCCAAACTGAGTAGTGGAACCGTTAAGTTTAATCTGATATGATTGAGTATAAGAAGAAAGTTCACAAGATCATGTTATTGTTTACTATATGACATTACTCGTAGCTTGTTTAATTTGACATCACAACTATCCTGAAACATTCATTGGAAAACATTCACGTGTGAACATTATGGTAAATATAAGGGAAACAAGAAAAGAAAAAAAAAACTCGCCATTTACCTAACCAGGGGTGGAGATAGGGCTCCTTCATTGGAGGGAGGGGGGCTAGATGAAAGGCACTGGAGCAAGTTCAGGCTGGTAGATCAGTTTAGACTTAAACGGCTTAAATAATTATTAAAATGCAAATCACTAATAAAGATAATCATATAAATAATGAGAACACACTACATGAGGTAATACCTTATACTCGCCTAAAAATGTCAAAAATTAACTAGTTCAGGATGTATTGCTCACAGATGTATTACATCAGTATAGTGTAATGTGAGCAATACATCCAGAAACAGTATTGTAAAACAAACTGGGTTTCCGATGTTAATTGTCCCTGTGTTTTCACCTTCATTGAGTTGAATGCCATCAAGCTTCATTTTTATATAGAAACTGAGCAATTTAGGCTGTCACAAATGCCCAATTCATAATGAATCCTGAGTCCAGAAAATTATCAATTTAGTTTAGATCCCTTGCTTACCATATGAGAGATATAACAGAAATTGTCTGTGTTCCAAGAGCTTGAATTGTTAATGGTTCACCACTACAAGAGTGCAAATCAAAATTAATATCATAAAGTGGAGAAGCTAGTCCAAGACTATAGGTGTAGGGTATCCACATGGAATATAGGAACTTTAACTGTTAAGACTATGGAATTGGTAGATGTCATGATTAGGAGGAGAGTTAGTATAACTTGTGTACAAGAAACTAAGTGGATGGGTGAGAAAGCTCGAGAAATAGAGGATACCGATTTTAAATTATATTATAGTGGCAAGGATGGATACCGAAATGGGGTAAGAATAATAGTTGCCAAGGGTCTTGTAGAAAATATAGTTGCGGTCATTAGGAAAGGTGATAGGATAGGATTATGTTAGTTAAACTAGTTATTGGTGAGAATATAGTGAATATTATTAGTGCATTCGCCCCCCAAGTTGGTTTAGACGATCAGACTAAGGGAGATTTTTGGGACCAAATGGATGGGGTATTACAGGAGATACCTGTAGAAAAGCACTTAGTTATAGGCGGTGATTTCAATGGCTATGTAGGAATAGATAAATTAGGTTAGGAGAGGATGCATTGTGGGTATAGTTTTGGTGATAGAAATGAGGCTGGAGAGAGCATTTTGGGTTTTGCGTTAGCTTCTGACCTAGTGGTGGCCAATACTAGTTATATGTTATAATAACTGTATAGAGAAGGGGAGAGAATCAATTATGTATATATTGATGTTATTATTGATTGATTTATATTGATATCTATTACAATGATTCATGATTCCTATATATAGAAGAGGGTGAGTGTGTAGTAGGTAAGGAGTAGGTGAAGTGGAGGTGGTAGTGGTGTAGTGGGTTAGGTATAGTGGAGTAGGTGAGGTGGTAGTGGTGTAGTGGGTTAGGTTTAGTGGAGTAGGTTTAAGTGGGTGAAGTAGGTGGAGAGGGTGAATTTTAACATTATAAGAAGAGAGGGAAGCATTTGATAACCTTTAAGAGTCGGTCAATTAGGAGCCAAATAGATTATTTTCTTGTAAGAAAAGTAGATTGTCTAAAACACAGCAACTATAAGGTGATTCTTGGAGAGAACCTGACTTCTCAACATAGGATTTTGATACTAGATTTATGTTTTAAAGGGCAATACCAAGCTAGGAAAGATAGTGGGCGTCGCAGGACAAGATGGTGGGACCTAAAAGCAGATAAACTAGAAATATTTAAGAATAAAATGGATAAAGAAGGTACTTGAGAATTGGAAGATGATACTAACACTATGTGAAACTCGATGACCAATTATATGAGGAGAATCTCAAGGGAAGTTCTTGGAGAGTCGAAAGGAAAGGGACCCAACCTTAGGGAAACTTGGTGGTGGAGGGAGGAGGTTCAAATGATAATAAAGACGAAAAAAGAGTGCTTTAAAAAGCGACAGAATAATAGAATTGAGAAAAGTCTTAAAAGCTACAGATTGGCTAATGAGGAGGTCAAAAAGTAGTAAGGGAGACAAAGTTGAAAGCCTATGATGACTCATACACTAGACTAGATAGTAAGGAAGAGGAGAAAATGTTCTACAAACTGGCTAAGGTAAGAAAGAGGAAAATAAGATATTTTAATTAGGTTAAGTGTATCAAGAGTGAGGACTATAAGGTGCTGGTGAATGACAAGAGATTAAGGAGAGGTGGAAGAACTATTTTGAGAAGTTGTTAAATGAGGAACATGGACGTAGGTCAAGAGGGGAGGAAGTAGGCAGTAATGAGGAAACCCAAGACTACAGGTTCTATCGTAAGAATTGGAACTTTGAAGTGGAGATTGCAATTAAGAAAATGAAATCGAATAAGGTTTTTGGACCCGATGATATCCCTATTAAAGTTTGGAAAAGTTTAGGTAAGAAGGGTGTTGTTTGGTTGATTATGTTAAAATCCACCTACTCTCCACCTACTTCACCCACTTAAACCTACTCCACTAAACCTAACCCACTAACCCACTACACCACTACCACCTCACCTACTCCACTAAACCCACTACACCACTACCACCTCCACTTCAACATTATGTTGGTCTTGAAACTTTATTTGTTTTCACTATAAAAATCTCTCTTGAGGTTTGGCCCATGTATGGAGATCTTCTTGATAGTGAGAAGTGATACTTGACCTTTATTTTAACTGATGTATCTATAGTAACTGATGTATCCTGCTTTAATGCCAAGTCCTTCACTTGCAAGCTTCAAATGTTATAGACTATAGAATACCCTTTCTGCCATGATCTCAAACGATGCCACCAACTCTTTTTTTCCCAAGAAATACAAGAATTGTAACTCATTGGTATGGGTTGAACTCTTTTCCAATCAAAGTGGGATTTCCCCCCTACAGTTTCAATATGGTTGGGACTTGGGAGGGAGAAAAATGGTCAATACAATTATTCCTTGTGGAAATGGCTAATTTGCTTCGTCAAGTGTTGTTCGTGTTTTACCTCTTGC